GGAACCGGGGATTGAACTCGGGTCCTTGCGCTTGCAAGGCAGGCCACTGAACAGCTGAGCTAAATCCGCGGCCCCTTGAAAAGAAATTTTTAATGCATGAGTGCTAAGCCTCAACTCAAAGGTGTATCTGTTTTAACACATCATGATAAGAGTGCCTTTTGCGTAAAACACTTCCCCGGGAACTATGAAAAGTAAAGTGGGGTTGGCTCCGGCCTACAAGAACTATAGGATGTACAAGAGTATACAAATTGACCCATCAAGTGTGGTGTGGTAGAATGATTATGCGAGAGCCAGGTGTGATAGGACATACCGGTAAACTCAGCGCTTGAGAGGCTGAGGCTGGAGGATCTCAGTGAGTTCCAGGTCAGCCTGGGCTACGTAGCACAAGGCCAGTCTGAACTGTATAACCAGGCCCTATCTCAACAAAAACAAATGATTACAGAATATAAAGAGAACCAAGCAAACCTTTGAGCAGAATTTTCTTAAAGCGTTTCATAGATTTTCCTGATCATATAGTAAATGGTCTTTATACCTGAGAAAGAGTGATCAGGTGGTTAAGATCATGACTTTTGAATTCTGGTACCTGTCCCATCTGTTGCATTATTAGCAGTAAGCCCTTAGGCAAAGGTTATTGTAAGAATCAAATGAGAAAATATATATAAAATAGAATTAGCTTAGTGTTTGGCACATACTGTTTAATGTGCATTGAATCTTACTAGTAATTTTATTTTTAAAACATTATGCTTTAATATTTTTTTGTATCCTAGACTTCTTTCATATACAAAACTTTTTAAGCATAAATGTGTTCAGGCGGAGCATGGTGGGGCATTGGGAGTGGGCGGCTGGAGCAAAAGGATAGGGATTACAAAACCAGCCTGAGCTACAGAGCGAGGTCAAGGTCACCCAGGATCACAAAGTGAGTCTCAGGTTTCAACAAAACAAAAATTAGCCAGGTGGGATGACACACACTAGTTCCCAGCCTGGGCAATTTAGGGATTTAGCCAAACTGGCTTCAAATTTAAACAAGGCAGGGGTGTATCTCTGTGTGGAGACCTCAGCACCGGAAGCAGGGATGTTACAAAAAAGCAAACATGGGTCTGTGGTTCAGCAAGTACAGTTTGGTCCTCGGCATTGAAAAAAAGAAAAAAATCTTCTTTTGTGGAGGTAATGGTGACTCTTCATGGTAACGCCTATTTCAACATCTGGGTCTCCTCCCACAACACCCTTTAGCCACCTACAACTAGAATGAAGTGTTTTGGAGCCTGTTGGATGTTTAAGGATAAATTTCTTCCTTTTTTTTTTTTTTTTTTTTTTGGTTTTTTGAGACAGGGTCTCACTATGTAGTTGAGACTGACCTAGAACTCACTAAGGATAAATTTCTTTAAAGAAAAAAATGAAACAGAAACAGTCTTCAGGAATGAAAATACATGTTTTTCAAGATCAGTATGAAAATTCAGGATATCCCATTCAAATAGACAAGCCTCATAAAAGATGATTAGTGTTGGATTTTATGAATTTTTAGTGATTTACAAAGGATATAGAGATTAGAGATATAGCTCAATGGTAGAGCACATATTTGCCATGTGTGAGACCATGGGTTCAATGCCCAATACTTAAAAAGTTGGGGAGATATAGAATGAAAAGAAAGCATATTATAAGCTGGGCATGGTGGCACACACCTATAATCCTAGCACTTGGGAGGCTGAGGCAGGAGGATTGCTGTGAGTTCAAGACCAGCCTGGCTTACATAGTGAGTTCCAGATCAGTCTCAACTACATAGACCCTGTCTCAAAAAAACAAACAAAAAAGCCTACTATCCTTGTTCCCCCCAAAGGCAGCCATTTTAATATATTTTTATTAGTTTCTTTTGTATTCTTTCAGAAATATTCCATATATTTACAGAAATATGGGTATATAGAGTCTATTGGTGCATGCCTATAATCCCAGAACCTGGGAGGCTGAAGCAGGAGGATCGCCTCCAGTTTGAGGCCAGCCTGAACTACATAGTGAGATCCTGCCTCAAAACAAACAAAAAATTAAAAATAAATAGAAACAAAAAAATCTAATTTTAATATAGGATACAAACTGGAAAACCATCTCCTTGGGAGGAAGAAAGACATCTCTATATGTCATGCTCTATGAAAATGAAGTTTGAAATATGTCTCAGACTGAAAGCAGGGATGTACTAATGAGATAGGAGATTAGGGCATAGCAAAAGCTGGCTGGGGAAGTAGGCATGACCTGTTAACTACAAGATACCAGACACGTGCAGAACAGTTGCCAAAGCCCTCACTGCATGTGGATTTCTCCTGAGAACTCAAGCAGGTTTTCAATGGGATGGCCTAGACCTGATGTCAGCCTGAGGTGTTCGATCCAAGCATCATCTCTCAAGATTCAGATGTCCAAGTTCTCAGGAGTTTCCTCATGATTTGGACTGTATAAAGGACACACTGAGCCATGAGGAGCTTACTATTGTAACTTTCCACGATAGCCCAGGCTGTGTTTCCCAATGTAGCATGTATTTTTATCTTTGCTCTTACCCTATGTTTCTATGTACTTGGCCCAAACTTGCTCTGCAGTTTCTCGCCCACTCTTTTACTTTCTCAAATAAATGTTGGCCCAGCTTTTTGCTTGTTTTGTTCAGTTCCTTATTTAAGACAAAAAGAACCTAGAATCCAATTCCTGAAGGAGAGGCAAGCAACTTGACCCTGGTCACGTTTACTTGGCAAGCTACTTTTTTTTTTCCTTTTATTTATTTTTGGTACCAGTGATGATCTCAGGCCCTCCTACTTGCTAGGCAGGCTCTGCGCCACTGAGCTACATCCCCAGCGTTTGTCTTCCTTTTAGAACAGATGGACCCTAAGATGGAGCCAGAGACCATACTGGGGGTCCTGGGGCTGAGAGGGATCAGAAAACCAAAGCATTAGCCCAAGCATCCCCTTTTAGAAGGCTGTCTCAAAATGGAACTTTCCCATTATCAGAGGTTACCCCAAACTGCATAAAACTTGTAGGAATTTCACCACAAAAGAGTAGTTGTTTTGATTTTTGCCTTAGTTGGGATTGCCTTAGTCGGGATGCTTGGTATGATCAGTCTAAGGTGGTATACACAGCAAAGGGATCTGAGTCCTCTCCGAATACAAGGCAACTGAACACCCTGATGTTCATGGGCCCCTCAGGAAGACGCTCGCCGAGATGTTCAGAGAAGGCAGCGTGTGTGCGAAGAGCAATACGTCTATTTTTAAAAGACTTTATATTATTACTGAACAGTACACATTAGACCTTTGAAGGAACTCGATATGGGTTAAGTAACCCTTACCCAAAATGCTTGGAAGCTGAATGTGGTGGCACGTAACTATAGTCCCAGAATTTGAGGCTGAGGCAAGAGGATTGCCAGGAGTTCAAGGCCAGCCTGAGATACATAGTGAGACCTTGCCAAATAAATAAATAAGCTACATAGTGTGACCCTGTCTCAGAAATAACTAAATGTATAAAGGAATGCTTGGGACCAAAAGTGTTTCAGATTTCAGAGTTTTTCCAGATTTTGGAATATTTTCATGGACTTTACCTGTTGAGCCTCCCTAATCTGAAAATCTGAAATTGCTCCAATATTGGTTTTCAAAGCATTTCATATTAGGAACACTCAACCCTTGGTAGGTCATCCACTCGATGTACAGAAAACTAAAGCTCAGGCTGGGCATGGTGGTGCATGTCTGCAATCCCAGCACTCAGGAGGCTGAGGCAGGAGGATCGCTGTGAGTTCAAGACCAGCCTGGGCTACATAGTTCCAGGTCAGCCTCAACTACATAGTGAGACCCTGTCTCAAAAAAAAACCAAAAAATAAAAATAAAAAAATATAAAAAGAAGACTAAAGCTCAGAAAAATCAAGCTACTCTTTAGAAGCAAGCTATCTGATAATACTAGGGTGAAGTATTAGCTTTGAAACACAGAGAAAGAGAAGCCTTTTGGTGATTGGAAAGAATTTTCATATATGATTACTTGAACTGATACTAGGGATTGAACTAACAGCCTTTGCTACATATTAGCCCTTTATTTCATTTATTTGTTGTTCTTTTGTTTTGAGACAGGGTCTCACTATGAAGTTCAGGCTGTCCTAGAACTCATTATTGAGCCCATGCTGGCCTCAAATTCACAGTGATCCTCTTACTTCAGCCTCCTGAATGCTGGGATCACAGTCGTGTGCCGCCACACTGAGCTGTGTATGTATGTATGTATCTGTGTGTATTTACTTATTTATTTCAGCATTGATATTCAAATCCAGGGCCTCACATCAAGCTACAACATCAGCTTCATTTACTTTTATTAGTATATATTTGCAGTGCATAAGGATTACATTCTCATGGTATTTTTTTTGTTTTGAGACAGGTTCTCATTACGTCACTAAGTTGCCCAGGCTTTGCTTGAATTTACCACCCTTCTGCCTTATCCTTTCTGGAGTACTAAGATTACAGGTATGGACCACCACACCTAGTTTGAACTTTATTCTTAAAACCATCTATTGTTAATGACTTATAATTGCTAAGAAAAAAAATATCCAAATCCAAGTACCAGTGTGGAAAAAAAAATGATGTTGACTTTAAAATAGAAACATAGTTGCCTATAATCCTAGCACTTAAGAATCCCAGCACTCAGGAAGCTGAAGCAGGAAGATTTCCTTGAGTTTGAGGCCAACCTTCCCTATGTTGTTCAAGGCCATCCTGAACTGCATAGGAAGACCCTAAAATAAATAAGTAAATAAATAAAATAGAAACATAAGACAGGCAATAAACAAAATATGGTATATCAAAACCTTCAGCAAGAAGAATAAATGAAATCCAGATACATACTATAACATGGATGAACTTGAACACACGCCAAGTGAAAAAGCCTGACCCAAAGAATGGTTCTTCACACAAAATGTCTAGAATCTGCAATCTATGAAGAAAGAATGAGGATTAGTGGTTGTCAGTGCTTGGGGGATAAGAAGGAGGAGGGACCACAACTGGGTTTCTTCGAGGGTAATGAAAATGTATAGTTAGTGATCGTGTTTGCACATCTCTGTGACTGTACAAAAAACTACTGAATTGTATGTTTATTTAATTAACTAAATAACTTACTGTTGCAATGCGGAGGCTGGAATCCATGGCCTGTTGGCAAGCTCTCCAGTCATGAGCTACATCTCCAGCCCTGTTTGGTTTGTTTGGTTTTATGGTACTAGAATTGAACCCAGAGCCTTCATACTGAGCTACATCCCAGTTTTTTTAGTTTTTTGTTTGTTTTTTGTACTGGGGATCAAATGCGTGTCCCTGTGCTTGTTAGGCAGGCAGCAGAACCACTGAGCTAAATCCCCAGCCCTTCAGACCTTTTAAATTTTGAGACAGTGTCTTGTAAGTCACTGAATTGTCCAGGCTGGACTCAAATTTGTGATCCTCTTGCTTCAGGCTCCTGGAATACTGGGATTATGGGCATGTGCCACCACACCTGGCCCATATATATGTTTTGTTAAGACTGTCTCACCATGTAACTCAGGCTGCCCTTGGATTCATGGTGATCCTCCCACCTCAGCCTCCCAAATGCTGGGATTACATGTGTGTACCACCATGCCCAGTTGCCCTGTGTGTATTTTTAGTCTTTTTCTTTTTTGGTACCAGGGATCGAACTCCTGACCTTGCGCTTACAAAGCAGGCAGCAGAACCACTGAGCTAAATCCCCAGCCCAGCCCTGTGTGTATGTTTAAATGGTGAATTTTACATAATTTATATCTTTGTGCATGGAGTGGGGGGCTGGGGATTGAACTCAGGTCCTGGGTATGCAAAGCATGTAGTTTACAGCTGAGTTGCATCCCCAGCCCTTCATCTTAAAAAGGCTATTATTGAAGGAAAGACTAAAAGCAGTTTGTTTTATAGTAAACAGGAAGAGAAAATTACTTGGGGTGAGTTTGAAGAAAACCTCTGAAGGTCCAGTCAGATCAGGCTTAGAGCCTGTGAAAGCTGCAGATCAGAAATGTGATTTGGTTCTGGATCCAAAAAAGATGGCTTAACTATGGACACGTGGGAGAAGGGGAAAAGTTGGTAAGGTTCAAGTGGTATTGGCCTGCTTTAACTGAATGAACCTAATTCAAGACTCAAGACAATCTCAAAAGGTAATTATTCTCAAAAACAATGTTAGCAGCTGGGCACCGTGGCACACACCTGTGATACCAGCAATTCTGGAGGCTGAGGCAGGGGGATCCCAAGTTTGAGGCCTGCCTGGGCTACACAGGTCAAGCCTGGCATACATACCAAGACTCTGACTCAGAAACACCCAAGAGGGCCAGGGATTTAGGTGAGTGGCACTGCACATGCCTTGTAAGCATAAGGTCCTGAGTTCGATTCCCAGTACTAAAAAAAAAAAACACACACACACATACTGAAGAATGATGTTAGAAATATTTAACAGCTGACTAGTAGAACAGAGCAGAGCCACTCCACCATGCTGTGATAGAGTCCTAAGAAAGCTGGATCTTGGTGGGCCCTGGAATGAGATAAGCTACTGGGGCATTTGCTTTGTTTGTTTATTTCTTTGAGATTTTTTTTCCTCGTCTTTTTGTTTTGTTTTGTTTTTGACACAGTCTCCCACTGTAGTTCAGGCTGACCCTGAAATCACTATGTGGTCCTGGCTGGCCTCCTAGTTGCAGTGATCCTCCTGCCTTAGCCTCTCGAGTTCTGGGGGATCACAGGAATGGGCAGACCATGCCTGGGTGAGGCAGTTGTTCTTTCCTGACTGTGCACACAAGCTAAATATCAGCCCTTTACTAACTTCCATTTTTCACATTAGGGAATTGAGATTTAGAAAATTAGGAACCTTACTTGACTTCTACACTCTACTGTTGTCTTTTCATAGGAAGCAGGAAGACTGAGTTGGTAGAGTTGCCAATCCTTTCCTCAGACTAGTTAGGGTCAAAGGAATGAGTCTCATCATCTATCCCAGACAGAGCTGCTAGGCAGACAAAGAACCATGGAGTGGCATGCCTAATACCACTCTGTCAGCCACATAATTGCGTGGCAAGATTTGAATACCATCATGATTTAGAAAACAGGCTAGGCCTGGTTGTACACACCTGTAATCCCAGCATTTAAGAGGCTGAGGTAAGAAGATCACTGCAAGTTCCAGGCCAGCCTGGGCTCAAAGTGAGTTAAAGGCCACCCTGAACTGCACAGCAAGACCCTGTCTCAAAAACATCAAAAAATGGGCTGGAGATTTAGCTCCTCGGTGCCACAGCTGCCTTTCAAGTTCAAGGTCCTGAGTTCAATCCCTGGTACCAGAGAAAAAAAGATCAAAAAAATAAAATAAATTTTTATAAAACCCAGCAAGGCATGGTGTGCATACCTGTTGTCCCAGTAAAAGTGAAGGAATGTAAATCAAAGCAAAGGCCCTGTTCTTAATTCCAAGTATGAAAAAAATAAAAAACAAGGAAAGACATGGTGTTCCAGGTAACTTCAGCTTTCCACTTTTAAATATCCCTGCTAAAGGATTACAAATGGCCTTGCTAACATCTCAGAAGGGAAACATGGTATTAGTATCTCCCTAAATCATCATGGTGAATCAATAAAGTCTTGTAAACATTTGGTCTTCGTCATGTTGGTGTAAGAGTCAAGGAACTGTTCATAGCTTCATCTGCTATGACCCAGGTGTCCATGGGCACACAGGGCTCCCTGAAAGCAGATTTGGTGGTGGGACATGCCCTGCACCCTGTGTGGATCTTGGGTATTTCTAGAGAGGAAGCAGTTGTGAGTAAGGACAGACTCTGGGTATTGTTGCATTCCTGTAAGGAAAGAAAAATTATTTCAAAATATGTTGAATAGTTGAACTTGTATTGCTAAGAAGTCATGGATAGCAAAATGAGAAAATTTGCAAGCTAAATATTAAAAACTGTGTAAAGGGCAAATCCCATGAGTTTCTGCAGTGCTCTTAGAGCCAGTAGACAAAAAGCTGTAATCTGGTGGTAAGGGGCAAGTAATTTTAACTGTCATTAATAAAAGGAATCATGAAGGAATTCAGACATTTCAGAGAAACACAAGTGGCTCACTATTTAAAATTCTACCACTAGGAGGAGACAAGTGAGTTGAAAATATTTAATCTGTTCATTGCAACATGCTATCCAAATTAAGAAGTCTATACAAGAATATACTTAGTGGCAGAATTTTAGTAACAGATGCTTTGGTATTAACATTTTATTTTTAAAATGAACATTTTACACTTACATAATAGTTGATTTTTCCATTCAAGGACAAGTGTTTTTTTGTTTTGTTTTGTTTTAAATCTGTACCTTACTCTGTTTTAGATCTGAAAACTAAATGCAAGACCTATGGTTCTCCAACTTAGCACATCAGAGTCCCCTGGAGGACAGTTGTGGTTCAGAGCTTGTGATGTAGCAAGCCTGGTGTAGGACAAGTCAGAAAATGTGCATTTCTAACAGTTTCCTGGGGAAGCTAATGCCTTGGTATGGAGAGCGCACTGAAAACCACTGTGCTGGTTGACAGTAAAAATGAACATCATTAACCAATAGTTAGATTCAGTTATGACTGAGAATTGACCATGGATCCCAGGTCTCTGGAAAGTGACAGTATTAGGAATAAGACTGACTGGCAGGCCGAGGCAGGAGGCTGGCAAGCTTGAGCCCCACGTGGGCAACTTGGCAAGATCCTGTCTCTAATAATAAAAAGGCTGGAGATGTGGCTCAGTGCAAAGGCTCTGGGTTCAAGCCCCAATATAACAAAAAGTAAAAATAAGTGATCATTTTTTAGGGCCTTGAATTCTAAAGAAAACAGTTCATACTTTGGAAGTACTTCTGTGGGAAAGTTTGAGAAAAACTGTTCCAAAGTAATTTTTCTGCCCACTTGTTCATCGTGTGTGCCATGCACAATGATGGCAGCCATTGTGGGGCTGTGGCACATGTGCATGACACATCTTGATTCTTTTTACTTCCCCTTTCCCTCCCTTCCTTCCTCTTATTTCCATCTCTACTTCCCCATTTGCAGAGGATCTGTCTCCTTTTCATAACATCTTTTACTTTGCTCTTTAACAATATATGGCAAAAGGGCCAGGGGATTTAGTTCAGTGGTTCTGGTGCCCACCTAGCAAGTGCAAGGTCCCAAGTTCAATCCCGGGTACCAAAAAAAAAAAAAAATGCAAAACAATATACAGCAAAAAAACACAAAAAGCTGTGGAAGCTTCACATATCCGTGTATCTCCGTGTCCAGGGGCAATGCCAATCTTTTCTGTATAGTTCCAGTTTTAGCATATATAAGCACAAGTAAATTAACCTCGGAAAAGCACGGTGACATTTGGAGTTGAAAAAGTGATGGGTGCCATGGTGGCCCTATTTTGGACATGGCTTCTTATTCAATGGAGGAGAAAAATGAACTACAAAGAGAGAAGAGGACACTCAAGGAAGGGAAAAAGATCCAAATACAATGATTAAGAGCCTGGATGATAAAAAAGAAAAAACAGAACAAAAGCCTGGATGATTGGTTAATGGTTTTGTATATTTGTTTTAAGAAACAACAACATGGGCTGGGGACTTAGCTCAGTGATTCCACCACCTGCCTTGCAAATGCAAGGACCTGAGTTCAATCCCCAGTACCAAAAAAAAAAAAAAAAAACTCGAAGAGAAACTAGCATAAAGAGACCATTGTCAAGGTTGGCTTTGGGCCCTGATTTAAGATTCTAGATATACAGTTAAGTAGAACTATGTGCTTGTAGTTGAAATGTAGTTGCAGAACTCCAGTTACAGAGTCTGTTTTTCTTTTCTTTCTTGGGTTAAACCCGAGGCCTTTTCTCTGAACTATATCACCTACCCTTTTTATTCTGTATTTTGAGACGGGGTCTCACCAAGTAACTAAATTACCCAAGCTGGGCTCACATTTGCAGTCCTCCTGCCTTAGCCCTCCATAGTGCTGGGATTACAGTCACGTGCTACCACTCCTGGCTGCAGAATCCTTTTTTACTTAAAAATTTTTAAAAGTCGAAGCTCTTTCCCAAAAATCTGTGAGGTTTCAGCGAAGTGTGTTTCTCAAAAGAAAGGGTTGCAGATCATGGTTAAAAAAAAGCGGGGGGGATATCAAAGTGAAAAACAAACATTTACCTATCATTCTGTCATTGACTTAAAACCAAAATGTTTAGAGGTGTTCCAAAGATACAGTCAAACATAATATCCAAAGGAGGCAACAGGGGAGCCATACAGCACCTGATGAAGGCTGTCATGGAAAAGGTGACTTGGCAGCTGTGTGTATGGGTAGCTCAGAACAAGCAACTCTCTACATTCAGGTACAGGGAGGGGAGCCCTGGGCAAGGCATTGCTATGCTTGGTGGCTGCATATGGAAGGCCAGAGATGAGGACAGTAAAAGGATTAACCCAGAATGGAGTGAGCGCAGGAGAAACTGGCTGAAGTCAGAGGCGGGGGGCCCATGAGGCTAGCAGAGGGGATGCCTGTCAGGGTGTGGATGGGGTGGATCTGACATGGCCACTGCTGACTCCATCCTTGGTTGTTCGGGGCAACAGAGCACAGAGCAAGCTTGTGTTCCTGGGAAAGTTTGTGTTTGGGCATCTTGAATGTTGGTTGTCAGGCATGTACCCGGGGCCCCATGTGTGAGAAATGTTCTCATTTTCCTGCTGTCCGCAATGAAAACTGTTTTCATTGTACTCTTGTCCACAGCAGTGACTAAGGAAAATAAAAGGAGGTGTCAGAGACATTCCACTTGCAAAAGTAATAAGACTTGGGTATCTGCCCAAAAGAGGAAGCCAATAAGAGAAGAAAGTTGAAAAGAAAAGAAAAAAAAACTATTGTGAGCCTGAGAGTCAGTTCAGAAGTATGGTTTTGGGGACATGAGGGAGCTTGCCCCAGTTAAGTCTGTCCAAACAGATAAAGGATGACTAACCAGGCCAGTGCTTCTCAAGTATGTTTCCCAGATCATGTAGTCAGCATTACCTATGAAAAATGCAAATCCGCAGCGGGTGAGGTAGTGCTCTCCCGAATCCTGCTCTGGAGGCCAAAGCAGGATTGTGAGTTTGAAGCCTGATTGTGCTATTTTGTGCTTAGACCCTGTCTCAAAACAAAGCAAGAAGAGCAAACTCTCAAGCCCTCCCCAGGACTGCTACATCAGAAACCTTGGGAAACACCCGACCATTTGTGGGTCCAGATCCCCAGGTGAATCCAGTTACACATTTAAGTTTGAAAACTGAGCTAAACCATGCAGATATTTTTCTCTCTCCTCTCATCTACAGAGAGAATTTGTTGATTGTGGGAAAAGAAGCTGGAAGTGGGCTATAGAAAGATTATGAGTAAGCTGAAATTATGAGTAAGCAGAAGGAACGACCAGATGCGGTGGTGGACGAGTCATGGGGATGGAGAGGGACAATGACACACACCCTTATGGCTGGGAGCCTCACATCTGCTGCAGCTCGGTTACACCTTAGCCAACCCAGCCCCTGCTGCGCCCAGAATCTGTGCACTTCCGTGTTTCTCTTCCTTCCAAATGAGTCCAGCTCTATTGCTGTTCCTGAGTTCCTGTTGTGTTCTTACCTCCCTGTTCTCGTGAATGTCCTTGAATAGACTTCCCAGTACTTGAGGTGGCCTGAATAAATCTGTGTTCCTAAGACATGAAAAGCTGATGCAGTTCCAAAGTACACGGCAAAAATTGGCTTGGTGTAGTGCCTATTCCCTTTTATTAATTTAAACTTTTGCTCAATTTTTTTTTCCTCTCTAAGTACTAGCCCTTACACTGAGCTACATCCCCAGTATTTTTCTATTACTTTTTACTTTGAGACAGGATCTCATAACTGGGTAGGTTACCCATGCTGGGCTCCAACTTGCAATCATCTTGCCTTAGCCTCTCGCAGTGCTGGGATTACAGGTGTGCACCATCATACCCAGCTTTTAAATTCTTTTTAAAAAAATAACAGCTAGGGCAAGGCATGGTGGTACATGCCTATAATCCCACACTCAGGAGGCTGAGGCAGGAGGATCACTGTGAGTTCAAGAACAGCCCGGGCTACATAGTGAATTCCAGGTCAGTCTCAACTACATAGTGAGACCCTGTCTCAAAAAATCGAAAAAAAAGGAGAAAAAAATAGCTAGGCATGGTGGCAGATGCCTGTAATCCAAGCACTTGGGAGGCTGAGACAAGAGGATCCCCATGAGTTCAAGGCCAGACTAGGCTACATAGGGAATTCAAGGCCAGTCTACAAAGTGTGACCCTATCTCAAAAAAAAACAAACAACAACAAAAAAAAATTTTTTTTAATGTATTACCAGGTGTGGTGGCACACGCCTGTAATCCCAACACTTGGGAGACTGAGACAGGAGGATCACTGTGGGTTCAAGGCCAGCCTGAGCTACATAGCAAGACTTTGTCTTAAACAAAATGAAACAAACCCCAAAAGTGTATTAGGTAATTTTATTAAGTATATTCAACCAATTTCTAGACTTTTTCATCTTGTAAAGAATTACCTGTGTGTGTGTGTGTGTGTGTGTGTGTGTGTGTGTGCGCGTGCGCACATGCTGGGCATTGAACCAGGCCTGGCACTTGCTAAGCATGCAGTCTACCACTGAGCTACTCTCCTAGTTCCCAGGAATGTCATTTTATGGAATTACTTTTCGGTGAAATGTGCTGTGTCACCTTTCCCTTTGGGCAACCACCAAGCCCCCACTTGTGCTGGCACACTGATGAGGTCTGGCACTTGAGTTTACCCTTGGGCACATTTTTCCTCCCTTGCCCTTGCCCTCACCCTCTCTCTCATACTGGAAATTGAACCTAGAGCCTTTGCACTGACCTACATCACAGTCATTTTTATTTCATTTTGAGACAAGTTCTTCCTAAAATGCACCGCTTAGCCTCAAATTAACTTTGTTTTTGGACTAGGGATTGAACTCGGGCTCTTTGCATTGTGCTTCATACCCAAATATACCATGTTTTTCTTTTATCCTTCCTTTCTTTTGTACTGGGGGGTCAAACTCGGGAACTTGAGCTTGTGAGGCAGGTGGCAGAACCTCTGAGCTAAATCCCCGGCCTGGCTCCTTTCTGTTTGAGAAAGATTCTGGTTAAATCACTCAGTTTCCCAGAGTGGGATCAAACTTGTAACCCTCCTACTTCAGCCTCCCAGAGGGCTGGGATTAGAGGCCTGTGCCACCACCTTTGGTTCAGAATGTTTCTTTTTTCTTTTTCTTTTTTTTGTACCAGGGATCAAACTCAGGACCTTGCACTTTTGAGGAAGGCACAGCACCACTGAGCTAAATCCCTGCGGCCCCTAGAGTGTTTCTCAATCTCTCCTCCAGTTTCCCTTGGCCACTGCCCTAATCCAGATTTTAACTTCCCAACCTTCATTCCAATGTCTTCTGTGTATAGTATCTTTATCTTTTTTTTTTTTTTTCTGTCTAAATAGGTTTGAATCCTAAAGGGTTTCATACTGATTGTGCAGTTCAGAGAGGGTGGTGAACACAAGGATTTGACTGGCTGTTCCTTCATAAGGCATTGGCCTTGTCTGGTGTAGTTGTGTTTTAAGCGTAACCAGGAGCTCTGCCTGTTCACCTATTATGAAGGGTTGAAGTGGAGAGCTGGAAGAGAGGTCCCTGTACTCCTTTCCTTTCCAGAAGTTGCCTGTACCACTTTGCTTTGTCATCTTGATGGCATCGTGGCTTGGTGTCATAGAATGAATGTTTTTATTATCAATACATTTCCAGGCAGGAAGTAGAAGTTCTAGGAACACAACTTCCAGGACTGGGAGTACAGCTCAGTGAGAGAACTTGTGTTCTTGTTTGGTCTACAGCACCAAGGGAAAACAAAAACAAAACCCAATGGCTCAGAGTGTTATAAATATTTTAATTTTTTATGGCAGTTTGACTTGTATCAGAACCAACCATAACTTATCAAGCCTCTTTTTCTCCTTACAACCAAGCACGTCTGTCAAAACTCTACGTGCTCCCTTACAGGGCTGACCTTTGCTCTTCAGGCCTTGCCTGTCGTCTCTCTCACTCCCAGAAACTTGGCTTTGCTGGTGGGGTTTGTGACTGACCTATGTTTTTTGGAATTGTGCAGGATACACAGAAATAGTGCAACACAGATTTCTTAGGAGCCACTCCTCAGTGTGGGAACAGGCCAGCAAGATAAGTTCATAGCCCCGAAGAAGCTAGGTGTCAGAGCATGTGCACAGCTTTTACAGGGAGGGAGCAGCTTTTGGGGGGTTTTTGTTTTTGTTTTGCACAAGGATAACTTTATTAAAGCAAAGGAATGAACATAATTTTGAAGAATTCCACCGCCGTCA